CGTGAGTGGGGCCAAGACACACAGCTAGTCCATGACGGTTTTGGGGACTCATCCTGACTGATTCCCGTTTAGCACATCCCCTCTAACTTTATGAAGACCTTCACATTTTCCCCAGGGTGCAGGAGGACATCAAGACAGAAGCTCTCTCCTTCCCTGTTAACACCTAAGCCTGATGCCCCCAGCAGCGGGCCATGTAGTCTGCCACTCCAGCAGCCCTCACCCAGCTGTTAACACACTTTTTTTTTTTTTTTTAAGATTTATTTATTTATTTGAGAGGCAGAATTACAGAGAGAGGGAGAGACAGAGAGAAAGGTCTTCCATCTGCTGGTTCACTCCCAAAATGGCCACAATAGATGGAGCTGAACTGCTCTGAAACCAGGAGGTTCCCCCAGGTCTCCCACGTGGGTGCAGGGGCTGAAGCACTTGGGCCATCCTCCACTGCTTTCCTAGGCACGTCAGCAGGGAGCTGGATCGAAAGTGGAGCAGCTGGGACTCGAACTAGCACCCATATGGGATGCTGGCGCTGCAGGTGGAGGCTTAACCTACTACATCACAGCGCCAGCCCCTGTTAACACACTTTGAGTAAAGGTGATCTCCATCAGAAGCTCCTGCCCCATGCCCGGCCCAGCGCTGGCAGGCATGTTCAGATGAAGCTTTCAGAACGATGGGAAGATGAGGCTGGCGAGGAGGGAAGGAGCAGGAAGAGCTTTGCAGCAACATGTGCGCCCCCTGCCCTCCAGACCACCGCCTTATCTTCCCCAGCACCATTTTTGAGGCATCCTTTGTGCAACTGACTCACTTCGTCTGATGCGTCTCATCGCCCACAACTAGACTGTGCTTCTGGAGGGCAGGGGCTTGTTTCTGTTCCCCAAGGGGCCCCCGGCATCTCCAACAATAGCTGGTGGGGACACGGCAGATACTCAGCAAATACCTGCTGCGTCAGTGGGTCCGTGCCACACTCTAGTGGAACCCGAGATCCAGCCGAAGGCCCAGTCTCAGAACAGTTAGAGCACAGTGGGAAAGATGCAGATGTGAGGAGGGGAGCATCCCCCACCCATTGTGCTGGCACAGAGAGCTCTGCTGGGGAGCAGCAAGGGGCATGAGGCTCCCCTGGGAGGAGGGAAGTGTGTGCGGGGCCACCTGTGCCACGCACCCTCACATCGTCCCCTGCTGCCACCTCCCCAGCTGTCCATGCTGTTCACAGAGGAGTGCGACAAGGTGAGGGACCTGATGCATGTCCACTCGTTCAGCTACGACTTCCACCTGCGCCTCGTGCACCAGCACGTGCTGGGCGCCCACCTGGTGCTGCGACACGGCTACCACCTCACCACCTTCCTGCGGCACTTCCTGGCCCACCACCCTGATGGACCCCACTTCGGCCGCAACCACATTTACCAAGGTTCGTGCCATCGCATTCATACCATGTTGCCATGCTCTGTCCTGCGTCTGAGGTTCTTCACTGTCAGTTTCATGTCACAGTTTGGACCTTGTAGTATGTGGACCCTGCCTCTGTTCTGAGCCACTTTCACCCCACCTCAGTGTCCCCAGGAAAACAAGGCCTTGGCTACTCCCATCCAAGGCTCAGTGTCTGCTGTCTCCTGTAACTTCCCCTCAGGAACATTGGAGCTGCCCACACCACTGATCGCCGCCCACCAGCTGTACAACTACGTGGCTGACCACGCCAGCTCTTACCACATGAAGCCACTGCGCATGGCCCGGCCAGGGGGCCCAGAGCATAACGAATATGCCCTGGTGTCGGCATGGCACAGGTGAGGCTGCCGGGGCTGAGGCTGGGCCGTGCTTGCAGTAGAGAGGGAGACGCACGTCTTCTGGGGCAGAACAGGGCTGAGGTTGACATCCCGCCCACCATGTAGCTCTGGCTCCTACCTGGACTCCGAGGGACTTCGCCACCAGGACGACTTTGACGTGTCTCTGCTCGTCTGTCACTGTGCCGCACCCTTTGAGGAGCAAGGAGAGGCCGAGCGGCATGTCCTGCGGTCAGCAAATCCCCGCCTGCGATGCCCCCACTGCCCCACCTGCCCCCAGCTCTTGCCCTGATCACTGCTCTCACCCCTCTCCCCACCCAGGCTGCAGTTCTTCGTGGTGCTCACCAGCCAACGAGAGCTCTTCCCACGACTCACTGCTGACATGCGCCGGTTTCGGAAGCCCCCCAGGCTGCCGCCCGAGCCTGAGGCTCCAGGGAGCTCAGCCGGCAGCCCCGGGGAGGCCTCGGGGCTTACTCTAGCCTCTGGAGCAGCCCCTTTGTTCCCACCACTGGCCGCAGAGGTGGGTATGGCGCGAGCGCGGCTGTCACAGCTGGTCCGGCTGGCTGGAGGCCACTGCCGTCGGGACACCCTCTGGAAGCGCCTCTTCTTGCTGGAGCCTCCGGGGCCTGATCGGCTGCGGCTGGGAGGTCGCCTTGCCCTGGCAGAGCTGGAGGAGCTCCTGGAAGCAGTCCATGCCAAGTCCATTGGTGACATTGACCCCCAGCTGGTAAGACCTGGGGCCTCCACACAGGGCTGGGGTGGGTGCCAGCATTCCACAAGCAGCCAGCATGGAGGGCACAGGAGTCTCCATGGGGACTGCGACAGCATTCAGGCCTGTGCACCCTCTCCCAGGACTGCTTCCTGTCCATGACGGTCTCCTGGTACCAGAGCCTGATCAAGGTTCTCTTAAGCCGCTTCCCTCAGAGCTGTCGCCATTTCCAGAGTCCAGACTTGGGAACTCAGTACCTGGTAAGTCCCCCTGAGCACCTCTGAAAGGGGGAAACACAGGAATCCTCAAGTGAGGTGACAGGTGTCCCCTCAAGGAGCCCCAGGCTGACCAAACAGGCAGCTCTGCAGGGAGGCCTTCATGGAACGGGATAAAACCCTAGGAGCACTGAGCATCGAGCTGCAGTAGGTGATTTGTTGGGAATTACCCAAGAGCTCTGTCCGCAAAGGCTCACCAACAGCCTGAACCCTGGTGTCAGATTCCAGGGCCAAGCTCAGGACTGATAGCCCTTGGAGCACACAGAACCTAGCGCCTGGGCTCAGAAGTGGAGGACCGGAAAGCACGTGTTGGGCCTTAAAGCCGATATTCAGAGTGTGTGGTCCACAGACCAGCAGCATCAGCGACCCTCTCGGGTCCCACTCCACGTACAGACTCAGGATCTGCATCTTGGCAGCATCGCTGGGGATGTGTCCCACGTTCAAGACAGGAGTGATGGTGGTGGACAGGCATGTGGGGAGGTGCACCCAGCGAGCGCTGGGGCCAGGAGAGCAGGTGCAGAGCAGCCTTCCAATGCGGAAGCAGTCGGGGCCTGCGAGGGGTCCTGCAACATGGGCCTGTTCACTTCCAGATATACAAAGAGCCCTGTAGTGAAGCTGCAGCCAGTCAGGTGAGGCTCAGCAGTGCAGGTGGCAGGGGCAGGTGGGGGTGCTCCTTGGGTGGCGAGAACACTGAGCAGCAGTGGGTCGGGGGCAACGGCGCCAAGTACAGCAGGGTCAGGTTGAGAGCGAGGCCCACGAGGCTCCTCACCGTCTAGAAGAGATGAAGCTCAGGGGAGAGAACCAGCCAGGAGCGGAGCATGAACTGGTGGGGGAGGGGGGGGGCTGAAGCCTGGGGAAGAGAAGTCGCCACGGGACCGATCACGTAGCTGTGCGTTAGGGAGCAGGTGGACGGAGGGGGACTGGCCCACAGGAGGCCAGAGTGCTGAGAGCCAGGAGCAGGCAGGTGACAAGGTTGGGTTGTGCCCAGGGTGGCAAGCCCTCCTTCCTTGGTTGGCTACAGTGTGCCAGGCTTTGCACAGCATCTCTGGCCCGAGTGCTGCTCTCGTCCTGAGGAGATGCAGACAGGCTGGCAAGCCAGGGAGGGTGCAGGTAGAGGTCCACGTTGGCAACACGAGCCTGAGTGACAGGCATGCAGGTGAGGGCAGGTCTCCACAGGTGCCCTGCAGGAGGCGGCAGCCCCTGCCCCTGCCCCTGCCGTGGGGCGGCCTCACCCCGGCTCCCTGTGTGCTTCACTGCAGGTTGTGCTGAACCAGAAGTTCACTGACTGTTTTGTGCTAGTGTTTCTGGACTCACACCTGGGAAAGACGGTGAGAAGAGGGGGTTCAGCCAGTGGGAGGCCGTACCCTAAGTGCTCCACCTGGGAGCTTGCTGAGGTTGGGGTACCCACTCTTCCCCAGCCCTGCTCCCTGTCCCCACCCACAGCCTCCTCTGACCAGCACACCCGCTGTTTCCCACAGTCTCTGACAGTGGTCTTCCGAGAGCCCTTCCCCGTCCAGTCCCAGGACAGCGAGAGCCCCCCTGCCCAGCTGGTCTCCACCTACCACCACCTGGAGTCCGTCATCAACACAGCCTGTTTCACCCTGTGGACCCGCCTCCTGTGAGGCAGCGCTGAGTCACCACTGGAATCCTGCAACTGGGCAATGCCCCCGAGGCAGGACTGACCAGGTCTTCTGGCCCATGGCAGGAGAAGCTGAGTGTCCCTGAAGGCTCAGGGCTGCCTGCCCTAAACGTGCACAGCCGCCGCCCAGCCGCGGACTCCAGAGGGTCAGGCCAGCTGCCTGAGGTGCCCATCACCGCTGGGCCCTTCCAGAAGAGGACTCCTCCTTCCTGCTCCCTGGTGGCGTCCAGGAGTTGGTTCTTCACAGGAGGTGGTGAGCACTCAGCAGAGCTCCCCTTCCTGAATCCTGCTGCCCAGTCTTGACCACTGTGGGCCACCTGCCCACCTTGGGCGTCACTGCTCGATCTGGACATTTAGCCTTCTTGGTTCCAACCCCAGCTCTGCCTTTGAAGCACCCAGGACCACCACCGAGCCCCTCTGCTCTTGGACCCGTGGTTTCTCATCTGTAAAGGACATGGGCTCCAGCACTCTCCCAGCCGCTCAGAGCCCTGGCACCGACTGGAGGAGTCAGTGTGAGCTGTCTCACGTCCCCTCAGTGGACGGGGACACAAGAGAAACGGAAGTGTTAGACACTGTGTGTCCTCCCCCCAGACCCATAACAGACACATGAAAATGGTCAGCAGGCGTCTTTAATTCAGACTTGGGATTCTCGGTCCCTGGCCCTGAGAGGCATCTGGGTGGTGTCAGGGCCTCACTGGTCAGCCTGTGGGCGGCCCCGCCTGTCCCAGTAGGAACGGAGCCAACTCAGACCCTCCACGGTGTCTCCTGCAGGAGGGAGTGGGAGTGGCATTTCTACCCAGGGAGAGGGAAACTGGCCCATGCACTGCTTGTCCCGCCAGGGCTCTGAGCATGCCCAGATCCCCTCTCTGCCCCTCACCTTGGGGCCGATACTCGCAGCCCACAAAGCCTTGGTAGCCTTGGTCTTCCAGCAGCTGGAATAGGTAGGGGAAGTTCAGCTCTCCAGGGCTGCTGGGCTCCCCTCGACCTGGGACCTGGGCCACCTGCACATGGCCTGGGGACAGATGTGGGCAGATGTGGGGCCAGGCTCCCGCCAAGGCCTGAGGGACAGAAGGGGAAGCTGAAAGGTGGGCATAGGACTTCGCACGGGGAAGGGGACCCTCACCCACAATGGGCAGGAACTCGCGGATGTTTCCTGTCAGGTTCCCGTCCATGATCTGCCAGTGGAACACGTCCTGGAGACCGGAGCACTGGTCAGGCCCTGCTCTTCCGCATCTGGGGACGTGGGCCCTCGGCACTCCCCATCATCCACTCACCATTTGGAGCTGCAGATTGGGTCTTCCGACTTTCTGCAAGATGGCTGCCGCTGGGGGAGAAGCCGAGCCCGGGCCATGAGACTCAGAGAGCACAGGGACTAAAAGGGACGGAGCGGGCCAGGGGTCCTACCCTGCTGGGGCGTGTCCAGGAAGTATCGGGGGTCCGTGACGCGGGTGTTGATGGGCTCCAGCAGTCCCACGAGGTTCTCCTGGCACCGCGTCAGATGCTGTGAGCACAGCTGCTCCCCAAGGCTGCCCCTGCCAGCCTCTCGCTGGCCAGCGCCTGCCTTTGCCTCATGTGCTCTCCCCACTGTACACCCGCTCCGGTACACACGCAGTATGTCTACATGTGTCTCCACTCGTCTCACCTGGGCCAGAACCCCAGCCGCATGCCTCAGGTTCTCCAGAAACACCGTCTCCATCTCCTCCCGGACTGCTGCCCGATCAGCCCCCTGCGGTACTCGGCCAGCCATCAGGTGAACCCTGGGGGGCAGATGGGACCAGAAGCCTTCCCTCCCTCGGCTCCCTGCACAGCGCTGCCAGGACAGCTCTGGGTATGCTGGCTCACCCATCTCCGTGAGCATGCAGTCCGGCCCAGAGCCCCGAGACACTCCTGTGTCGGCCTGAGGCCTAGGCCTTTCCCAGACACCTTCCCGGCAACCCCTGGAAGTCCATCCTTTCTCACCCCCTCTGCTTTCAACCTCCTGTCCCCAGGTCCTCCCAAGCAGGCTTGGGTCTCATCTTTAAAAGCCATCCTGACCTCGCCCTTCTTGGCTGCTTGCCTGCTTCCTCTCCTTACCCTCATGCCCCAGTAGTGCCCCTGTGTCACCAGGATACCTCTGCTCAGCCTGTGTGACCTCTGTAGGAGGTGACATTGGTGGGCACAGCCCCTTTACGCCTTCTACCTCTCTCCCCATCGCCACCTGTCTTTTTCAGCCACAGGCATCTGGCAGCAGAAGCTCCAGGCTCTCCCAACCCCAGACCAATCCCCAGCCTCACGGCTTCCCCAGCCTCACGGCTTCCTCTTGCCTCTCTGACCTGCCACTCAGGCCAACGGCCCTCTTTCCCCGAGCAGCTTTCTCTGGTCCCAGACAAGCTCAGGTGCCTGCCTTGCTCCCACAGCTTCCTGTGGGCCCTGGACATCTGTTGCTATCTCCCTGGTCTGAGCCGCACCCCCGCATAGGATGACACGAAAATGGTGAGCGGGACAGCACACGACAGATAAAATACAGAAGGACTGCGTCTGGAGGGGGTGAGGGCCGGGGCGCTCTGACATGGGCGCTGCCAAGCCCCACCCCACCCCTCCAGCTCCCGACCTCGACCCCGAGGCAGGGTCAGGTCACCAAGGGGGAGGGGCGGGGGCAGGGTACCTAGGACAGCCCAGGGCCTTGGCGTACAGCACGGCCTGCTCCAGCCCCTCTCGGAAGGCCACCTGTCTTCCGGGAATGGCCCCCAGCCCCATCTCCCCCTTTTCTTGGTCTCCTGCGGAGAGAAAGCGGCTCGGTGCTAGCTCGGGCACCCGCGCGGCCCGCGCGCCCTGCCGGGCCCCGCAGCGCACCCGGGGGCGTGTTGATCAGAACCAGCCGCAGCCCGGCATCCTTGGCCGCGCGCGCCAGCGCCTCGGGGTCCTCTGCGTACGGCCAGGCCACCTCGGCCGCCTCGAAGCCGGAGCGGGCGGCGGCCTGGAGCCGCGCAGGAAGGCCGGGCAGCTCGGGGAACAGCCAGGACAGGTTAGCGGAGAAGCGCAGCGGAGCCATGGTGCGAGCATGGGCCGGCCAGAGTCCGCGCGCCGACCGGAAGGCGGAAGCCGGCGGGCCGCGCACGGAGGTAGCCGAAGCCTGGCGCCGCCAGAAAGGCGCTGGGGTGGGGGCAGGGAGGGGCGCGGCGAGCGAGAGGGGCGGGGCCCGTGGGGAGACAGCCGGGCGCCCCAGGGACCAGTTGCCGTGGCTGAACGTGTATAATGTCCCCATTATAAAAATGAGATCTGTACCACCAAACAAAGAACTTTTATACCGTCCCTTACCGCACAGCTAACCCGTTAGCTTTCCCATACGGATTAAAAAGTACATGTGCAATTTTTTTCTTAGAAAATTCTGATCATCCTGTATGTGCAGCTTTGTTGCCTTTTTTTTTCTTGTAATGTTATTTTATGACCTTGTTCCCGTGTTCTTTAGTATTCTTTAAAAAAGCCATCACTGTAGGCAGCTCGTAATTATCACAGTAGACGGGCACTCTGTGTGTGTGTGTGTGTGTGTGTGTACGCGCGCGCGCGTTCTAGAAGAGCACGTCCATGCACCTCTTGGTCCCCCTCTTTGTCTTAGTTTCCTCTTCTGGAGATGTCCATCACAGTGTCTGCCTGTCCACAGCCTTTGACTTTTATGTGGACACCTGGGCCTGCCGCTGGCCACCTCACTAAGCAACTGTGGGCAGGCCCCCTGAGCCTGAGCACATTGGACCACTGGAGGACATCTGGTCCCAGGGCAGCCAACCCAGAGACTGCCAGGAGAGTCTTGCTTGCCTTGTTTGGAAAGATCGGCCAATCAGATTCCGCTCTCAAGAGTTAACCAGGAGATGCTGAGAGTCCAGTGAAGAGGTGATCTTGCCGGAAGGTGACTGGGGCCTGACTGGGGCCGTGGCAGCTTCAGAAGCAAGAGTCAGATGGTGAAGAAAAGCCAGAGCAGAGAGATGGCAGCCCTGGGAGCAGAGGCACAGCCTGAGAACCCCCGCTGTGCCCGCAGCCACCCCCAGCCTGCACTTCCTGAGGCTGGATGCTTGCATTTTCCTAGGTTTCTGTAGGGCCTTTCTTAAGATAATTTGAATGAATTTACTTTAATCTACAATAACCCAACTGAGCGGGCAGATTCTTACAGGTAGCATTCATGGTCAAAAAATGGGGAATCTTTTTCAGCTCTTGATGGCTGTTATAAATTGCTTTGCAAAAATGTAGGCTTATACTCCAACAATCCATGAGTTGAAGTCATCTTGGTTTATTTTCTGTGCTAACTTTGGCAGAGAGAAGGTCAAAGCACACAGTAGCAGCACCCAGCACTAGCACCCAATTTATCCTGCCCCTGCCCAACTCCAGCCCAAGTCAAGCCCACTGGAGCACCTAGGGTCCAGGCTGATCCTATAATTAATCCCAACGCTGGCAGGTGCCATTTCTTCAGTTCCACCCCTAAGAACAGACGGCCACCAGCTCGTCTGATCACCTGATTGCCTGCCCACGTGCAGCTGACTTCGTACTTGGAACTTTGGCTTGTCCTGGAACCAGCTTCCTGGGTATAGTCCAATGAGGATGTGACCTCACCTTGTTACATTTCAATCCATCCCGACTTCAGCATAGTTACAATGCAAAATTGCCAATGCCGACTAACAGCTAGGGGGAGCAATGCCTTTATTAACCCTCCCCTATACATCTCTTAGTAAGCAGTTTCTATTTAAGCCTTTCAAAGCAGCCCTGTCTGCTACTTTCTGTGTCAGGGACAAGTTTGTCCACCTCCAGGGGTCAAATCCTTTCGTTTGTGCAGTGGAGATGGTGCACAGACGAGGGGCTCACCGCTCACTGCCCCCTCAATCCCTTCACAACACCTTCACACAATACACCAGAATAAATGGACACGTTCAGTACCTGTGGAAAGCATTGGCTTTTGAATGTTGCTGTTGTTCTTCTTTAAAATTTATCTATTTGCATTTTATTGAAGAACAGAGAGACAGAGAAAGAGCAGGATATTCCATCTGCTGGTTCACTCCCCAAATGGGGCCGGACCAGGCCAAAACCAGCAGCCTGGAATGCCATCTGGATTCCCGCCGTGGGTAGCAGAGGCCCATGGACGTGGGCCATCTTCCACTGCTTTCCCAGGCACATTAGCGGGGAGCTGGATCAGAAGTGGAGCAGCTGGGACTCAAACCAGCGCCCATATGGGATGCTGGTGTTGCAAGCAGGGTCTCCACCGGATGCACCACAACCATGACCCCTGCCTTTAACTCTCAACCGAAGAATTTGCTCAAACGTAATGTTAAGGTGACAACAATGTATAGCTGAAGACTTGAGTATAGAGTTCAGAGTCTCACCTGGCCACTGAATACACTCACCCATGTGAGGTGCAAATCAAAACCTCACTGAGACTGCATTTTATATCTTCAAGATTGGCAAAAATAAAAAAGGCAGGCACTATCAAATATCGGATAGGATTTGGAACAACTGAGATGTTTATTCACTCACTGCTGGTGGGAGTGTGAACCACCACAGCCAGTTTGGAAAACACTTTGGCATCATCTCTGAAAGCCCACGTACCTGCATCCACTAGTTCCTCTCCCAGGAATGTTCCTGCAGGAAACTTGGCCACAAATGTGCCAGGAGACAGATTCAGTGATGTTCATAGCAGCAATGTTTTTTAAAGATTTATTTATTTATTTGAAAGGCAGAGTTGGGGCCGGCGCTGTGGCACAGCAGGTTAACACCCTGGCCTGAAGCACCAGCATCCCATATGGGCACCAGTTCGAGACCTAGCTGCTCCACTTCTGCTTCAGCTCTCTGCTATTGCCTGGGAAAGCAGTAGAAGATAGCCCAAGGCTTTGGGCCCCTGCACCCACGTGGGAGACCCAGAAGAAGCTCCTGGCTCCTGGCTTCGGATTGGCACAGCTCCAGCTGTTGCAACCAATTGAGGAGTGAACCATCAGATGGAAGACCTCTCTCTCTCTTCCTCTCCTCTCACTTTGTAACTCTTTCAAATAAATAAATTAATCTTTAAAAAAAAAAGGCAGAGTTACACAGAGAGAGAAGGGGAGGCAGAGAGAGAGAGAGAGAGAGAGCGCGCGCTTCCATCCACTGGTTCACTCCTCAGTTGGTCACAACAGCTGTAGCTGCGCTGATCTGAGGCCAGAAGCTTCTTCTGGGTCTCCCACGCGGGTGCAGGGGCCCAAGGACTTGGGCCATCTTCTACAGCTTTTCCAGGCCATAGCAGAGAGCTGGATCGGAAGTGGAGCATCTGGGACTCGAACCGATGCCCATATAGGAAGCCTGCACTGGAGGCGGCAGCTTTACCCGCTACACCACAGTGCCAGCCCCAGCTGGCAGCAACCCAGATGTCCAACAGTAGACACATGGGTGAGTTGTAGTCATACAGTGTTGTAGCTGGAGGTGACCAGGAAGACTGGTGACACAAATGATAAGGCGGCATCTGCTCTTGTCTCAGCGCAGTGGGTGAGGAGTTTAGTCAGGTTTGGCTCAAATTGAAAACATCATGGTGAAGACATCAGATGGATAAACTTCAGATGAAGATGGATAAACCTCAGAAACACAGTCGTGAGAGAAGGCAGTAAATCACACAGAAATGCACGTGATTGCATCTGTGGAAGGCCAAGGGCAAGGAAACCTTTGGCGCTGCAAAGGTCTGTGGTAGCACAACGTGGCACGATGGTGACCCCTGCAGGGTGCGGGAAAGGCAAGTCAGCACCTCCCAAAGTCATTGTCATCCCTTCTCCCAGTCATGCAGCCTAATTTTACCACTCTCCTTTATGGCTTGCATGTATTTTATAAATACCACTTTATGTATTTGTCCCATAGTCAATAAAAACAAACTTTTTAAGCCTTCTGCGTGCATTTCCACCACCTGCTAGCACGTTTTATATTAACATTCTCAAGTGCTATCATCGTAGTCACAAGGTTTTTCCTGCAGGCTCAGCTTGTTTGTGTCGTCTGTATAGTTTGGGCTATAATTATTGCTTTTCCAAATTATTGTCCAAGAAGAAGCCAAAAAGCAGCAGCAGGCAGAGAGAGCTTCCATCGGCAGGCTCACTTCCCTGATGCCTGCCATGGCTAAGGCTGGGCCAGGCTGAAGCCGGTAGCAGGGAGCTCAATCCATGCCTCCCGTGTAGGTGACAAGGACCCATCAGCTGCCGCCTCCCGGGTGTGCATAAGCAGGACGTCAGAACTGGGAGCAGAACCAGGAACCTGAACCCAGCCATCCAGGATGGGGCACAGGCAACCCAACTGGAGGCTTAAACATTGCACCAAGTCCTCACCCCGATAATTGCAGATGTTTAGGCTCAACGCGCCCCAGCGCAGTACGGAGGTCTTTTCTTGTGTTACCTTCTCAGAACTTACTACAGATAGCCTAGAAAACGGTCCCAGCGAGCTCTGCTCCCTGGTGTATCTGCCCCTGGACACTGCCCTCCCCTTGAGTGCGAGCTGGCCGCGTGCCTCACTTCTGGCAGACAGAACATGGCAGAGTGATAGCGTTGGGGCCAGCGTTATGGCGCAGTGAGTTACACCACCGCCGCCGATGCTGGCCTCCCATATGAGCTCTGCTTCCTGATGCTCCACTTCCGCTCCAGCGCCCTGCTCATGCACCTGGGAAAGCAGCAGCAGACGGCCCAAGGGTTCAGGCTCCTGCCGTCCACATGGGAGACCCAGATGGAGTTCCAGGCTCCTGGCTTCAGCCTGGCCCAGCCCTGGCTGTTGTGGCCATTTGGGGGGAATGAACCAGCAGATGGAAGATGCCTCTCTCTGTGTCTCTCCCTTTCACTCGGTAACTCTGCTTTCCAAATAAATAAAATAAATCTTTAAAAAAAGAATGATAAAATTGTTACCGAGCCCAGGTTCTTTCTTTCTTTATTTTTTTATTTTTATTTTATTTATTTTTTTTTTCGAGCCCAGGTTCTTTGACTCACTTGCAAATAACTGACAAGAGGCCAACCTGCAGCCAGACACGGTTTATTGGGGCTTATGCTCCCATGCAAGGGACACAACACAGCCACCTACCCCTCCCCATCAAGAGCTGAACAGGGGGGCCTGTACTGTGGCTTACTAGGTTAAGCATCTGCCTGCAGCTCCGGCATCCCATATGGGTGCTG